CCTGCCTCCTTCTTTATGACCCGACTAGACCCCCATCCCCCTCTCATCGTCGTTCGTTTTAGTGGTTGTAGTTAGAACCGTGATTTATTGATTTCACCTCTCTAGCGACACACATACACACCTACTGTGATAATTCATTCGTTGCGAAAATTCCTGGTCTTTTTTCTTTGTATTGCTCTGCCCCGTACTTGCAATTATTTCACATCGTGTACGAATGAATGCGAATAGCTTTCTTGGGTATTGGATTTGATGTTTAGATGATTATAATATAGATAAACTGATTTCTTTTGGTTGCTTGGTCCTTTTTGGCATTTTACGAGATTTTTGCCTGGGTAGTAGAATTGTTTCATTGGAAACGGTTGTAGAGGCGAATAAATCCCTCCCTCTCCGTGTATACTAATCGGCCGCGGCCTGTTTATCACTATCCAAACAGAAATGCTCACTTTCATTCAAATTGGAGGGACTGGCATCGTACGGGACGCTCTGTGGCATGTTTTTGATATTTCCTTGTTTCCATGAAGACTGGGGTGAAGTCATCCCTACACTCTGCTGAGCTGCAGATCATTCTGATTCTGATTTCTTCTGATTTCGCTGGTCTTATATGGGGTGGTTGAGTAGAAGATGGGCAAAGTGGTTTGCTGGGAACCCGAGCAGCAGCCACGAAGGACGGAATTCGTGCTGCGCTGTGTAACTGCGGCTCATCACAGAGATAACGGCTGTTGTTTTTACATTCTTGAAAGGAAGCACAATTTTTGAGCCATAGGAGTGAAACATTTCCTGTGCTTAACACCTAACGAATTGAGAGCAAGTGGATGCCTTGCCTCTTAAAGGATAGCGGACGCGATCCACTGTGGCAGTTTAGAGCTCAGAACTGTTTGAACATGCGGCATGCAAAGCATTAATCAAAAAAGTAAACAAAAGCGCCGCAAGAACATAGAATAAGACCCTGTTCGATCGGACGCATCTGGACGAGTTTCGCAGATTTTGGGTGAGTTCTCCGAAACCCATCGCCGCCTCGTTGCGGCTAATTCTGAGGCCACTACCTAGGTTGTTTGAAGTTGATCTATCTAATCTAATCTAATCTAATTAATCTAATCTATCTATAAGTTAATCTCTCTATCAGTGTACGAAACGAACGCTAGAAATTTAGCGATTATCAATGCCAGCGAGGATTGATAATGGAAAACCAATCGAGGCGGGATTAACACGACAGGCGGAGTCAGCTTATCATTGTTGACTCCGCCTTCGTCTATCAATCGATTTCGAGTCGCAGGAGTGGGATATCCTCTATGGTTGCGGACTCCGCGATCTTGTACAGTACAGGGTTTCTTCACCTTGGTTGATCGCGGACGCTGTCTTTAAGCCATGAAATGATCTACCGTCATTAGAAGAATAGTCGAGGATTACGGGAGACGGTCTTTAGGGCCGCGCGACGTCGCGTGCGCGGCAAAACTCACCGCGCTATTCAATTAGATTCGTGTTCGCTTCAGTTTTCCAGCCGCGTTCTTCACTTTGGTAGGACCTGGATTGTCACGATCAGTAGGTTTTGCTTTATTTGCATAGCTAGAGTGATCACCTAGCAATTATGGTGCACAGAAACCTGATTCTGTGCGTAGGCTTATTAGCTAGTCTCCATATCATTTGACGTCACGATGCTTTCTAGACGGTGCTTTCTCCGAAATCATCTTTTCAGCAGTAGCACCAACCTTATTTGTATTTCATAAACGAAGCGTTAAGAGTCTCAACTCGACTGATATGTACTTGAAGGCGGTCCTCCTGGTGAAGAGGGGCCTTTTTGAACAGAAGTGTCTTGTTAATTCCCCCTGAAAGCACTCTGGTGACAAAACTGCACTAGACCCTGTTCAGACAAGTGGTTTCCCTTTCTGCTAGGCACTTCTACTCTATAAACATAATCAATTTATCGCACGTTATACCTTTAAAGGCAGAGTATACGATGGTTGGGGTGGCCTGTTGCTGTGAACTGGTTGAATGGCTATGAGAGAGCGTTGGGCCACATTTATTCACTCCTTTCACTAGAAGATTTGAATACTCTCATCTAATCAATGAATGGATTAAGCTGTATTGGTCAAGCTTCAGTTAGGGTTGGTTAAAGGCAGAACCCACGATCACCTATAATTATCTCTATCCATAGGGGAGGTAGTGTAGACTGCGACGAACAATCCTGTATAAGTTCTACGTCAAAAAGTGTTTAGGTGTCGGCTAAAGGCACAAGATTGCTTGAATGGTGCGCCCATTTTGATAGATGCCTCATCTGCTGTCTGCTTACTGAATTAATACGATGAAGATTCACCTGTTTACGTCATCGAGGGTTTTAAAGGCAGAGCTCGCGATCACTTACAATTTGCTTAACTCTTTGTCTGGACAGGTAGTGTGAGCTGCAGCGAACAACCCTGCATAAGTTTTACGTCAGAAATGGCAAGGTAACGGCGGTAAGGTGCAAGGTTTCTCGAGTGACTCCTCCCAAGTTGGTAAATATCTTATTTACTCTTCTTCGTTTGTGCTCCATCGCTGATTTCTCTGCTTCTCTGCCGCTACCCGCATTGATTGTGTGCCTTTCGCTTGGCACGAGTGGGGCCTTATTCGGAACCTTCGGTTTCCATTCATTTTTTCTTCAGCAGCGAGTCAACTAGCCCATACAGTTCTGTTTCTCAACCACGCTACCTACGAACTTTTGGCTGGCTCATCGCGAAGTCTGCCTTTAAAAGGTGGTTTTCAAAACCCGGGAACCCATCACATGATAAGGTGATGATTCACATGTTAATTTCTTACCTTGATGTTTGCTTTGGGGAGGGGAGGGTGGCGTCGTTTTGCCCTGCCGCTAGTTCACTCTTGTAAAACTTCGAAATGGTACAAGTGGACATTTTATTTACCGGAATGCACAGTGCTCGGCAAAGTGGCCCCCCCATAAGACTCGTTGAGTACTACATATAATGGTGGCCTCATTCAGCCAAACTGGCCCTCCTTACCCTACCCTGACGATGCCAGGCCAGCTTGGTCAGCGTCACGAAGACTGTTTCATGTCCCTTGAGACGTTGACAAGATGGCTGGCGTAGAGCATAAGAGCAGAGTACATCTTAAATGAATATCAGCTTTTGAGACGGCTGTCACATCCTAATTTTGTGGCAAGACAACGGTATCACCAGAATGAAAATATCTGCATCAAATCAAACTTCTACACTACGCTCAATGGAAAGCGCGTCCCAGAGGTCAAGTGGGGCGTGGCCGCAGTCAGAACAGCATTTACCGCCATTGTTGCATCATTGGTGGGAAAGGACGCCTTCAACCCACACACGCCCCATCGTTTGTAGGGATCATGACTGTACGTGGCCACGCCTACTACACTCACGGATCTGGCGTATAGTTCGCTGCCCTAGCTGATTAAACCAATCAGTCACTGATTAGTCGTGTTTAGTGATCAGCGTCTACATACCTCTGTGGAATAAGACCGTTCGAGGCTACGCTGTAGCCCTTGTTCCTTTGAAGGAGCCTGGACAACGGACCTGTACCGGAACGACGCTTCTAGGCGACTTGTTTGAGGTTAATGTGTGGAGAAACAAAACTCAAATTAGTTTATTGCAGATAAAAAAATTAATACGTTTATTTCACCGTGTTGCTCGTACTGTGTGTTATGATAATATGTGTTTGTTATGGGAGAGGTGGTTAGTTTCCTCGAACAAAGACCTCGTAAAATTCGAGTATAAGTTGGCCGATTGCCAGCAGCAACTGTACGATACTTGCGAGTCGAAATATCGAATGAACGAAACCGTTCTGTAGCTCAATAACGGTAAATATAATCAGTCCGATCAGTGCAGGTGTGAATACCGCTGAAATTAGCGCCAATCACTGACGAGCAAATTATGGCCGCCTAGGGTACGGTAATGGAGAAGCACTCACCGAAAGCGTATTGAACACGTACTGTCGGTTCACTTTCACGAATGAACTGCTTCAAGTCGTAGCGACCATCAATGTTATAGTACCTAGAATGATATTTAGTCTGAAATGTCTGAGATATATAGAGGATAGTGGCAGTAGGCGCTAAGTCTTGGAGCAGGATGCACCAAATGTTGGTCGGCCATTTAGTTCCACTCTGTTAGGGAACGTCAAAGGGATGTGTAAATTGCCTGTGTTAGTTTGACGCCTCAAAACAGGAAGGATCCCCAACGATCTCTTCTCACAATCTTCTGCACGATGTCTACTTCCTCCGACTGCCACTTTGTTGTAATACTGTCAAGACAGTACATGCTATCTCAGAAACTACCCTGTATCAGAATAAGTTGCAGCTGCGTTCATACTTTGCGGCAGCGTCCACCAGCGTGTGCCAGCGTCCACTAACGTCCTAAGCGTCCGGCAGCGTCAGCGACTAGGAAAGTATAGATGTCGATCTAGCGTGTGCCAGCGTAAATTTGCGGCAGCGTCCATCAGCGTCTGCCAGCGTCCCGAGCCTCTGCCAGCGTCTCGAGGGCTAGGGAAGTACAGGTAACATCTAGCGTCTGGCAGCGTTCACCAGCGTTCACCAGCGACCGGGAGTAGAGAGTATGGGGAAGTAGGAGGGTAGCAAACAGCTGGATTAGGCGTCGTGAAATTGCGGCGTGTGCAACCGCACCGTACAGGTACACTACACCGTACATTAAATTGCATAATTCTGTTCTTGTGCGGTGCGGTTGCACACGCCGCAATTTCACGACGCCTAATCCAGCTGTTTGCTATCCTCCTACCTTCGCATAATCTCTACTCGCAGTCGCTGTTGAGTGCTGGTGAACGCTGGGACGCTGGCAGTCGCTAGCAGATGCTGGCAGACGCTATATGATACCTACCCTTCCCTAGCCTCCGAGACGATCGATATCTATACGATCCTTATTCGCTAACGCCGCCGGACGCGCGAAACGCTAGTGGACGCTGGTAGACGCTGGTGGAAGCTGTCACAAAGTATGAACGCAGCCTAACCTAGCTTAGAGTCACAAAGTACACTCATTGCCGAGGAGGGTCCCCTATATGTGTAAGGTGATTGGGTATGTAGCTGCATGAGACACTCTCCGCTTGAAAGTTCACAAGGGTGAACGAACGGTGGTGGTACCCGTGCGCCGTCTCCTTACTCCGCCCACCTTCTCCACCATGTGCACCACTTGTTGACACCAAGATCCCGCAGCGAAG